TAACCTGAACCACATGTTTATTTGAAATTCATTGTGGATTTGTTGCGTTTCTTTCCTGTAGACGAACGGCTTCTAGTTAAAAAATATATATTTTGGACTTATTTGCATTTTTTCAAAGAGCATAATTTAAAAAACGGTGGCACAATTTGGAAAAAAGAGCATAATTTTAGCATAATTTGGCCAAAAAAAAAAGCAATGCTACTAGCATAATATGCCACTTTTACTAGAATAATCTATAAATGCCTAGCCACTAGTGGCCAAATTGCCAAAACGGCCTCTAGTGGGAAAATACCAAAACAGCTGCTACTGGCCAAATTACCAAAACGGCTAGTAAAGGCAAAAATATTGAAACGGCCACTAGTGGTCAAAATGGCAAAACGGCCACTAGCGGCAAAATTACCAAAACAGCCACTAGTGGCCAAATTGCCAAAATGGCCAATAGTGGCCAAGATACTAAGACTGCCACTAGTGGCCAAAATACTAAAGTGACCTCTAGCGGCAAAAATATCAGAATGGCTGGTAATGGCCAAAATACGAAAACGGTCACTACTAGCGTATAATGTTAAAATGGCCACTAGTGGCAAAAATGCCAAAACGGCCAATGGTGGCAAAAATAGTAAAACGGCCACTTGCAGCCAAATTGCAAAAAAGGCCACTTGTGGCCAAAATACAAAAACTGCCACAAGTGGCCAAAATACCAAAACGGCCAGTAGTGGCTAAAATATGAAAACGGCCATGAGTGGCCAAAATACGAAAACGGCCACTAGTGGCAAAATTAAAATGCCAAAACGGCCACTAGTGGCTAACGTACCAAAATGGCCACTAGTGGCGAAAATATCAGAATAGCCAGTTGTGGTCAAAACAGGGAAACGGCCACTAGTAGCAAATATGCCAAAACGGCCGCTAGTGGCCAAAATATCAGAACGGCCAGTAGTTGCCAAAACGCTAAAAACGGCCGCCAGTGGCCAAAATCCCCAAACGGCTACTAATGGCAAAAATGCCCAGACAACCATTTCAAAACTGTTTTAAAACCTCTAATCGCCAAATTGTGTCCAAAACCCAAAAATGGCCAGCAGTGTCCAAAATTGAAAATCAACCACTAGTATTAAAAACCCAAAATCTACCATTAGTGTTCTGAACCAAATTTGGCGGCTGGTATCCCAAACCTAAAATCGGCCGCTAGCGATAAAAATCGGAAATCAGCCATTAGTGTCCAAAACCCAAAATCGGCCACTTGTGTCCAAAATCGGAAAAACCGGGATATTAAATTTCTAGCCCTCTTTGGCTTCACTTCACCTCAGGTCATGTACCATATGACCATAGGTGGAAACTGTCGGGCTTTGTTATGATTTATTTACTTATTAATCTATTCACTTTATTTCCAAACGGGGCTAATTAAAGCAGAAAAAATGAATAGTTGACTAGACCATCAACTGATCATCATGCGTTAAATGCTGTAGCTCAAGGGTAAAAAAAATACCAACATGTCGAGACCTGTGATCATGATGTAGGATAATATTTCTAGGTCGGTAGATATCTTCCTCTTTAGGTCACTTTATACATAGCGGACAAGCTGACAGCGCGCGCGGGCAAGATGAAGCTAATTCTATGCTCTGAATGGCTACATGAGCGGGCAAGATGGGCCCATTTTGCCCGCTCGAGCGGGCTCGTATTGATCCCGCGTAAGAAAAAAGTTATTTGTCAAAACAAAAGAAAAATTTAAACGACCCCGTAGGGTTTATTGTGCTACAAACACAGCTGGCTTTCTTTCTCGGCTCTCGAAATAAACAAGCTACTCTTGATTCTTATCAAAACGAAATATTTTCCCCGTATAGCAAATCTTTCATCTAGCAAGCCATTGACCCATACAAATCTGGCAATAGGAGACAGTACAAAAAATGTACTTCCGAGCCCGGAATTTGTCTGATGACTCCCCTTTCCTTGTAATTTGGTTCATGAAATGTTAACTTCAACACTGATTACACAAGTATATTGTCCAAATCTGTTGCACTGGAGAGTCAGAGCCAATGAGCTAAAGACAAGTATATGTCAGCCCTCTCTTCGTTTTGACATCTGTCGATTTAATGCCAAAAGCAAATCAGTATAAGGGTAATAGTAATCAATAGCAATCAAAGTTTAATGTCTTAACGTGGGGCATGGTTACCCATATTACCCGAGCCAGAGGTTCATGTATGAAACGCAAGACAACAACCCACCCCAGGGAAGGGCATCCATCACACAGCAATCTCGTGCGTGGGAAATTTTCGTCTCCTACCCCTAACCCTGCAGGAGACGGGACCTCAATTTATTCGTCCCTATCTGAGAAGACTAGAACATCTAAACCATTTCTTGATGTTATAGAAAGGCAGCATATTCTTTTCAATTATTTTAAGACCTTGAGTGTTGGTCCGGCCGGGGCTCGAACCATCGACCTCTCGCACATCAGTCTAGCGCTCTATCCATCGAGCTAACCGGGAGGTGGTTAGCTCAATGTTTCTCGAGCTATGTCTTTAACAAATGTTTCTCGACCTATGTCTTTAACAAATAGAAAGACGCTGATTAATATCAGTAAGTCTACAATACGCCATGAATATTGGCTGGAGGATTCTTTGGTGCAACAGCTGTCACTTTAACATCTCAATGTAGATTTCCGCTCTAACAACAATGCACTAGCGCAGTTAAACGATTGCATTGGAGGCTTATTACATTCAAGACAGTATTGCATTTAGGACTTCAACACAATCTCTCTCTTACTCACTCAACAAGACAACATTATGGCCTCGCCACCATATAAGGCAATAGTCATAAAAATGAAATTTTGGGTTGAGGCTTTTTCTATTCTTTATCGGTGATATTACTAGGTTTCAGTTCGAGAGTTGTCTCACGAAAACGAAGACCCTCGAAAACTAAGACCTAAGACCTAAGACCTAAGACTCGTTTTAGTTTTCGAGATTACGAAAACCAGGACCCCCTAAAATCGAATCCGTCGAAATATAAAGTCAAAGGTTAACCAAAATAGGTCTAACCTGTCAAGTCATCTCCTGTCCGATCCTAATTTCCACCGTGTTTCAGGTCAAATTCAACGGTAAATTTTGGGGTCTTAGTTTTCGTAATTCGAAAACTAAGACCCCTCTTAGTTTTCGTAATTACGAAAACTAAGCCCCTCACCAAACCATTCTGTAAAATTTCTACAAAGTCCAATTACGACCGTTCAAAGACTATAATCCGTAAAACAACCAAAACATACTATCATACTTTACGATCAGGCATGCGAACGACTCCAAATCCTAGTTCCACGCAAAAACGTACCGAGCGCACACACGTTTTTCAGCTCTGTCACAGGTAACGCAATCTCCATCGCAGAGACACGAAGAAAAACTTCCATCTCCAATGAAAAGCCAAGTTTATGATTTAAAGGATAAACAACAAAATTAAAGACCAATAGGAGTAAGGCATATTTTCAGTGTACAATTATACGTAGGTAGTGTATGGCTTTCATTGATCCTCTTTATAAAGCCACATTGCTGATAGAATGTCTTCAAATTGTTTGAAGAAGCGAATCGTCTAGCACGGATATGATAGTAGTTTTTGTTTTTTTTCTTTTATGAATTATAGTCTATCAGCGGTTGTGATTTGACTTTGCAGAAGTTTTACAGGTTGGTTTGGTGGGGGTCTCAGTTTTCGTGATTACGAAATTTAAGAGCTAGGGGTCTTTGTTTTCGAAATTACGAAAACCAAGACCCCTAGATTTACCGTTATATTTGACCTAAAACACAGTGGAAAGGATCGGACGGGAGATAACTTGACAGGTTAGACGTATTTTGGTTACAATTTGACTTTATACTCCAACGGATTCAATTTAAAGGATCTTAGCTTTCGTAATCTCGAAGACTAAGACGGGAGTTAGGTCTTAGGTCTTAGTCTTCGAGGGTCTTAGTTTTCGTAACACCCTTCAGTGAACAGTGTTTTTTTCAAACAGAGTTGTTTTTCCCGCCCGCCTAAGTACTCTTTTCTTGTTAGGGTCATTTAGGTGAAGCGGCAGAAAGGTTTATTTCGCGTCCTTGTTTGTCGTAGTTCGTTACACTTTTATTATTCTACAAAACAAACTTCTCTCACGGCCAAAAAAGACTTTGTTGTTGTTGTGTTGTCGGCAGGGGTAATTTGGTGGAAGACAATACAAACAGGTCGTTGGGACTCAGTTAAGGGGGCATAGGGTAAAATATGGACTAGACTGGACTGGACTGGACTATTTTTTGGACCATTTTTTAGACCACTTTTTTTTGGACCCTTTTTTGGACCATTTTTTGGACCATTTTTTGGACCATTTTATAAAGGGGGAAGCACACTATTAGTAATCAGGGAGGGGTGGGTGCAGTCTATAAGTACAGAAGGAGGGGTGGGATGCAGAGTTTTATTACTCTGGGAGGGTGGGAAGTGGTTGCAATTATAAACACTACTGGTTGATGGAGCTTTTCTCGATCGTGTAAATTACTTTGATCGGTTTTGCGACTGACTTTTTGTATATCAAAATTTTTGCACTGGGCCGCAGCGTTCCTTTAAATGTTTTTATCGTGCGAAAGCGAAACTGCCACGTAAACACTAGGCTTTAATTTTTATTGAAAATGTTGCGTTTACGATCCTCCACTGTTGAGTTGCCAGTCTGGCATAGGTTATGCGTGTACCTTTTGAGGCGACTTGTGCACCATCAGTTTTCCTTTGTGTATAGAGTATGTAATTACCAGATTTATCTCTCTTTCTTTGTCACTGATGTTATCAGACGAGATCACGGAATTTCCGGTCCTTAGCCGGTAGCCCTTGACTTGGTCGCATGTAGAATTCACAAGCGCTGTCGCAATTTTAACGTTTATACATTTACTCTATAAAATCATTGTTGGTACAGTCGTACAAAACAACATTCTCTCGGGTGTCTCGAAAACACAGACCTCGAAAACGCAGACTGCGAACCGCAGACCTCGAAAACGCAGACCTCGAAAACTTAGACCTCAAAAACGCAGACCTCGAAAACGCAAACCTCGAAAAATTTGTTTTCGACATTTCGAAGAGAACATTGGTTCACGCGCAGACGTCCAACGTTGAGCGCGGGACAAACCATATATAGCTACCAAAATCGCGGTGTACCACATTCCTAATATTCTTGAATGCAAAAATTCAAGCCCCTCGGCGATATCAATCACTACCTTGAGAAAAAGCGGTAAAAAATGTTGAAAGGCTTGCCTGCTTGTATCCTATCGAGGCAAAGCAATAATTCGAGGAGATCTAAACCTGAGCATCAAGACCGAATGGCAGGAAATCAAAACCCTCGTATTCCATCATGGTAGCAACCGGTTTAAGATAGTATGCGTCGCAGACAGTCTAAACCGCCGGTATAGACTATACCGGGGATTGTGTGACACGTCCGGCTGCAACGCAGGCTAGTTTAAGACCGATTAAAATAATTTGTACGATCGAGTTAACGCTCCATTAACCAGTAGTGTTTACCATTACAACCACCTCCCGCCCCTCCCTGAGTAATAACAGTTGGCCTCTCACCCCTCTCTTAGTACTTACAGACTGCACCTACCCCCCCTGAAAACGCAGACCGCAGAGCGCAGATCGCAGACCTCGAAAACGCAGACCTCGAAAACGTAGCCCGTGATATAGTAGGGATCTTACGCAATCAGGACGGCAACGCCAAGGAAGACTTCGATTAAAAAATGAGTTTCTACTCTTAGTTACAATTTCAAAAATGGTTGCAGGAGCTTACTGTCTTATACGGCGCCACAGCTCAACTTCAGCATGACGTATAAAAGTAGCGTTGAGTTCCAAATGGAAATTAAAATAATTTGCCGTCACGGTTACGGTTCGTGGACGACGCCAATTTTGGCGATTTCACGTTGTGGTTTTGCATAGGACGGCTAAGAAATGTACAAAGTTTCAAAATGTACGTGCTGAGCTATTGTTCCGCCAATTAGATTTCTTGTTTTTCCACGTCCTCGTTGCCGTCGCCGTCGTGGTTGCGTAAGGTCCCTAGTAACTCCCAAAAGGCACACGTATAACCTATGCCAGACTGGCAACTCAACAGTGGAGGATCGTAAACGTAATATTTGCAATAAGATATAAAGTCCAGTGTTTACGTGGCAGTTTCGCTTTCGCATGACAAAAAAAATTAAAGAAACGCCCCGGCCCAGCGCAAAAATTTTGATATACAAAAGGTCAGTCGCAAAACCGATAAAAGTAATTTACACGATCAAGAAAATCTCCATTAACCAGTAGTGTTTATTATTAACTATAAGTAACTGAAATCTTCATAACATTTGATCCAGAGCAAATCAAAATTCTAACTTCATCAGACTCTCAGGTTACGGAAACATTTGTAAAATATTGAAAACTAGTGCAAGAAGTAAAGTCGAGCCAAAAGTTCTAAGCGTACAAATCTCTCAGAAGAGGAAAGCACATGGAACGGCGTTACATCATCCGACGGTGAAAAGTCTCACCATGCTTTCGCGCGGCTAACTTACTTATCCGGTACCTACCCACCGTTTACTTTCCTGTGTACTTTTCATTCTAACTTCTTTAAATCTAAAACGCGTTGCCAAAAGATGGTAATCTTTGTATTTCAGAACAACCTTTAAACATCAGATCGAAACTGATATACAGTTTTATCAAAAGGAAACAGATACAGACGCAAACAAACTACGGATCATTGTCAAGAAAAGTGCTGTGTAAAGTTCAGTAATAACTTATGTTTCTAATTTAACCTCCCTGTTGTCTAACAGCTAAGAAAGCTCGGAACCTACGGTGAAATGTTAGGCAGCTGAGGCAATGTCAAAATGATTTTTCAACTAGTAAACGAGGTAAACATAATCCAAAGATCATCTATAAAAGTTCTAGGAATTTGGACTCATCATCTTAAGACGAAATGTTACGCCACAAGGGAAATGTCAAAGTCATTTCTCAGTTAGTAAAAGAAGGCAATCAAAGGAATCCAAACGATCGCCAGACTAGTAGCGAAGAAAACTGCACCACTGGATTCACCAGTAGGATGAACTTTGGACGAAAATTGTTTTTCTTTCGACAGCTTTTCCACCAAAGCGTCATTTGGGTTGGGGCTCGTGAAGTTCATCTGCAAGCAATTGGTTTTCTTGTAGACAAAGCTGGCTCCCCACATACTCTCGCAAAGGTCCTTACCATTAGCGTAGTAATCGCTAAAGTTCTTGCACGGTTGTTTACAATTGTTCACTCCCGCCTCCATCTTGAAGTCCGTGATCCAATTTTTAGCACAGGTTAGGTCGTCTTTGCAGGCGTCGAACCAGCCATCGCAGAAACCGGAACACACGGGGGCTTTCGTGATTGCAGATGTAAAATAAGGATTCTTCCAGAAGTATGCATTGTGTGAGCAGCGGTAAAAACATTCCACCATCACCATGAACGCTTCACATTTGGTGCTCAAGGTCTTGTTGCATGGTGTCCACGAGAAATTTCCGACTTTCTTGATCGGAG